TTAGGTGTTAAGTAGGAGGGACAGAGAAATCTCTTCCTCTCTGAAGTCATTTAATGAAGGCTTAGGGGTGAAGTGGAGATTAAAGTGGACAGTTGTAATATCTGAAGCTGTTGATTTCAGATTAGTCAGGCTAGAAATATAGATCATGAAAATAGATGCTGACACTTTTGAAAATGTTATTTGGTATCAATGAAGGCAGTGATTTTTAGCTTTTTCTCTCATGAGTATAATTTTAGTAGTGATACCATTTATAACACTATAAATTAACAAACCCTTGAAATCTAGAGCTAGAAGAGACCAAAGGGGTCATCTAGTCCAGTAAAGTCTTTGTTTTATTAATGATGAGCCATTCTGAAGACTTTTTAACATGTAGTAAATGTTTGTCTTAATTAGGGTGCTGTGGGATGAGTTGTATGTAATGGAAGGATGAAAACAGCTCAGATTAATTAATGACTCATTTCCCATTTTGGCAGCTTTTTTTTTTTTTTAAGGTAAAATTTACATGTAGTGAAATGCATAGAACTGAAGTCCAGTAACAACTTCTTTTGAGGAAATCAGGGATGCCTGGGTGGCTCAGCGGTTAAATGTCTGCCTTTGGCCCAGTGTGTGATCCTGGAGTCCTGGGATCAAGCCCTACATCGGGTTCCCTGCATGGAGCCTGCCTCTACCTCTGCCTGTGTCTCTGCCTCTCTTCTCTGTCTCTCATGAATAAATAAATAAAACCTTAAAAAAAAACCCAAAACTTCTGTTGAAATCAAATGCTAGAATGATTGCATGATGACTTAATCATTGGTTGATCAGTGTCACAGTTTACTAACGGTAAGATTCAGAACTGATACTTCCCTATTATCCCTTCAGTAACTCCCTTAGGAGGCTACTCCATAACCTTGCATGCATATATTCTTTATATAGCCAACTTATAAAATTACGTATATCTAGATTTAATGGGAAAACCCAGACTTTTCCTTTAAAGCTTGATATCTAATCTTTTTATAGTTTTCTTTATACTTATTACCCACTTTTATTTCCCTCTTCTCTGCTTCATTCAGCAAATACTTGTTTAAAGGATGTACATCAGGCTAGTCCTAGATAATTTGTTAAGAATCTTTTATATGTAGTGTGCTGTTTGTTGTTTTGATAGAAATTTGTGCACTAAAGACCTCAGTAGCAAATTATTAACTGAATTTATGCTTGTAGCATTATTATAATCTTGTTAACACAAGATAATTTGTAACTGTAATTGTTTGCTTCAGATATTGCTTGGAATCAGGGATTTTGTGAAGAGGAAGGAAATCTTATGAGGAAGGAACATTTTTAGTTTTATTTATAGTTCTTTTTTGTGAGTAAGAATTGATTGCTGCAGTGAGGATTGTTTATGTTTAGTGACATAGTTTTTTCTCTGGTCTCTGAGGAAAATGAGAAAAATTATGGTGTAGTTCAACAGATAAGACTTTTGCCTTCAAGACTCTTACAGTCTAGTATAATTAAAGATATATAAATTATTTCAATAGGATTTGTTAAGAGCTTAGGTAGCGATAATCACAGGTTTACATAGGCTTAGGGATGTGGAGGTGGTTACTTAACTTACCTGGAGTGCATGATACTTGAGCCAAGCTTTCAGTGATGAAGATAAGAATTAGTTGAAAGAATGTTTGCGGTAAAGAGAAAAGCAGAAGCAGGATACATACAGCACAACGTGGCAGGAAACTATTACTATTGGACTGCAAAGAGTGGCACAGCAAATAGCAATGAAAAAAGGCTTGGAGAGGTAGATCGTGTAGGGTTTTATATATATATATATATATATATGCCAGAGTTCAGTCTTTATTTTGAAGGCAGTTAATGAGAAGGAACAGGCAGATTTGTGGAGTGTGGAGGATGGATTTAAAGGGGACAGACTGAGAAATGATTTAGAGGTAAAATCATCAGGATGTGACGATTGACTCTCTGGGACAAGGGAGAGGAGGAATGAGCAGGATGTTTAGGATGATTTCTGGTTTGGTTGATTAGATAGATGGCATTAGCATTACTTGTGATCAAGAATGTAGGAGGGGGTCCTGGCAGGCTCAGTCGTTAGAGCATGCATATGGCTTTTGATCTTGGCTTTGTGAGTTTGAGCCCCACATTGGGTGTAGAAATTGCTTAAATAAATAAGCTTTTAAAATAGGAATATAGTAGGAAATATATAGTAGGAAGAGCAAGTCTGTGAATAAGGGTGGAAAAGTGAGTTCAGTTTTGGGTAAGTTGAATTTGCGGTGCCACATGTTGAGTGTGTTGAGAAGTGTTGAGAAGGCTGTTGGATGTGAATCTGAAATTTAGAGGTGATAGAGAAACTAGCAGAATTAACTTTGTAATTGGTAGTGAGCATTTGGAAGAGGCTTTTTTTTTTTTTTTTTAAGATTTTATTTATTTATTCATGAGAGACACAGGCAGAGGGAGAAGCAGGCTCCATGCAGGGAGCCAAATGTGGGACTCCATCATCCCGGGACTCCAGGATCACGCTCAGTGGAAGGCAGATGCTAAACCACTGAGCCACCCAGGCATCCCTGGAAGAGGCTTTCCTTTTCACACCCTCACAACTTTCCCAATCCTTTTAACTGGACTGCAGGTAAATAGTGAAGTTCATTGCCCAGTTTTAGATTGATGAGCAGTCAGCTTTTTCTATTCCTGAAATGAGATCTGGTTTAAATGTTGAAGAAGTGGAAACATTTTACATTATATACTCACCCCCTTCTGCAACATCAGGAGTTTGCACCCTTAATGTGTCATTGCCCCATTGCTATGTTTTATGATGTAATCTACCTAAATTGTACCATTTTCATTCGTTAGTAGTATTTATTTCCATAGTGTACTCTTTCCCAATCTTGTTTTATTCTATATTACTGATAATAGGAAAGAACTTATCTAGTAGTGAAGCTCCAGAGAACTTAAAGGATATGTTAAATTCTAACATAAATAGAATTATCAAGATGAGGCAGTATGTGCATATTCAAAATTCTTCCTTTTATATTTTAAGTTTAAATAATAATATTAGGTTATTGCAAGTGTTGAGTAGGCAGTATCTGACTGGTATTTGGCCCAGTTAATATGTACCATTTAATTTTGTTATCAGGGTAACGCTGACCTCATGAAAATGAGTTGGGAAGTGTTCCTTTCTGTTTTCTAAAAGAGTTTGTAGATTTGGTATTTTTGTTTTAAATGTTTGGTAGGATTCTACAGTGAACTCATCTGCACCCCTGTGCTGAACACTTTTCCTATAATTTGAATTTTTATAGATAGATATAGGGCTGATCAGGTTACCTATTCTTGTGTGATCTCTTGTGTTCATGTTTTTTTAAGAATTTGACTTTCATCTAAATTGTTGAATATATGGACATAAAGTTTATAACATTCCAATATTGTTCTTACATCTGTGGGGTGTGTAGTGATTTTCACCTTCCCATTCTTGATATTTGTAATTTGTGTCTTTTTTTCCTTAGTCTTGCTAGAGGTTTATCAATTTATTGATCTTTTCTAAAAATCAGCTTTTGATTTCATTGAGTTTTCTGTTTTTGACCTCATTGATTTTTGGTTCTGCTGAATGCTTTGTCAAGAGACAGTGGGTTGTATATTCTTTCTTTTTTTGTGTGTCTTGCAATATTTTATCGAACACTAGATATCATAAATAGGACAGTAAAGACTGAGTAGATAGAATATATATACCTGGAAAACTGCATACCTGGATTTTTTTTAGTGTAGCAGTCTGAATAAGCTGAGTTTTGGTTTTGTTATTGCAAAGAATTTTTCTTTGCAAAGAGTATTTTAAATGCATCATTGATTGATTTCAAACTTCTCTAGTGTTACTTTGTGCTTAAGCTAGAAATGAAGGCAGGAGAGAAAGGGTTTTTCAGTTTTCCTGATTGACTCTCAATTTTTGGCTGTCCTTGTGTACTTGTACCTCTATGCAGACTGTAAATGCTCCTTATTCTCTTCCCATGGTAGATTACAGTTATTGATGTGTGCTTGTTAGCCTGGTGATGAACTCAGGAATATCTCTGTTGTCCCAAGTCCAGTCTAAGTCAAGAGTAGGCTCTGTGTATCTGGACATCAGAATGGATCTCTTTCAGTAATTGCCCCTCGGTGCTAAATCAGGCCCTGCATCTTTTCAGGTCTTGTTTGTTTATTTATTTATTTTAAAGATTTGATTATTTATTTGAGAGAGAAAAAAAAATGAGCAGGGGGAGGGGCAGAGGCAGACTCCCAGACGAGCAGGGATCATGACGTGCCGCTTGATCCCAGGACCTGATCCCAGGTCTCGGACATCATAATCTGAGTCAAAGGCAGATACTTAACTGACTGAGCCACCCAGGCCCTCCCATCCTTTACAGTTTTTGTTATCTTTTCCCCAAACCCCTCTTTTTCCCAACCCTGCTTATCTTTCCATTCCATTTCCTGAAAGGTCCAGAAAAACCAGGAAATACTAACATTTTTTATCTCAAATTTAGATGAAATATTTCTGTACTTTGTATATCTGACAGTCCACCATTTTTTAGTCTACAGGTTATTTTGTCAGTTTTTATAAGTAGTAAATATATAAACAGCAGAATAGGAGGGCAAATTTTACTTAGTCCCCTTTTCTGTACTGTAGTTCTTCCCCTTTATACGGAAGTTTGTTAAAAATTTTTTTAGAAAGAGATTTTTTTTTCCCATTCCAGAGTCTCCCTCTCTTACTCTCTTGGAAACCTTTACCTTACACTATCATTAGTGGCTTAGAAAAAAGGATTAGGTGGAGATCTGTAGTTTTTTTTCCTTTTTAATTGTGGTTAAATATAAGATAAAATTTACCATTTTAACTGTGTTTTTTTTTTTCCATTTTAACTGTTTTTAAATGTACAATTCGGTGGTATTAAGTACATTCATCTTGTGCAGCCATTACCACTATCCATCTCTAGAACTTTTTCTTCCTGATGTGAAAGTCCATATCTATTAAATAATAATCCTCTTTCCCCTCCTTCCCTCAGGCCCTGGCAACCACTATTCTACTTTATGTCTCTACTGAATTTGAGTAGGAACCTCATGTAAGTGAAATCATACAATATTTGTCCTTTTGTGACTGATTTATTTTCCTTAGCATAATGTTACCAAGTTTGATCCATGTTGTAGCATATTGCAGAATTTCTTCCTTTTTAGGGCTGAATAATATTCCATTGTATATGTATATCACATTTTGCTCATCCGTCTGTTGATAGACACTTTTGCTTTCACCTTTTGGCTATTGTGAATAATGCTGCTGTGACAATGGCTATGCAATTATCTGTTTGCTTTCAGTTCTTTATAGAGTATATACCTAGAAGTAGAAACGCTAGATCATATGGTAATTCTATGTTTAATTTTTTGAGGAACTGCCATAGTACTTTCCACAGTGGCTGAGTCAATTTGCATTTTTATCAGCAGTGCACAAGGATTCCAGTTTCTCCACATCCTTGTTGATACCTCTTATTTTCTGTTTTTTGATAATAGCCATCCTAATGAATATGAAGAGGTATCTCATTGTGGTTTTGGTTTGCATTTCTCTAATGATTAGTGATATTCAGCATTTTTTGATGTGCTTATTTGTGTATCTTCTTTGGAGAAATATCTGTTCAAATCTTCTACCCAGTTTTGAACCAGGTTGCTTGATTTGTTGTTATTGTAGGAGTTTTTAAAATATATTCTGGATATTTAAACCTTTATGAGAGAGATGATTTGCACATATTTTCTTTTCTTTCATAGGTTACCTTTTCACTGTTCATAGTGTCTTTTGATGCACAAAAGTTTTTAACTTTGATGTAGTCCAGTATATCATTTTTTTCTTTTGTTGCTTGTTGCTTTGGTGTCCTATCCAAGAAATCATTGCCAAATCCAGTGTCATGAACTCATCCTCTGTTTTCTTTCTTTCTTTCTTTTTTTTTTTTTTTAAGATTTTGTTTATTTATTCATGAGAGACACAGAGAGAGGCAGAGACACAGGCAGAGGGAGAAGCAGAATCTATGAAGGGAGCCGGACGTGGGACTCGATCCCAGGACTCCAGGATCACACCCTGGGCCGAAGGCAGGCGCTAAACCGCTGAGCCACCCGGGCGTCCCTCATCCCCTTTTTCTTCTGAGACTTTAACTCTTAGGGTCTTTGATCCATTTTGAGTTAGTTTTTTTGTACACTGTAAGGTAAGGATCAGTTTCATTTTTTGCATTTGAATATTCAGTTTTCCCAGCACTAGAGATAGTTTTGCTATCGATAGGCTTGGTGTAGAAATATGGAGTATAGTTTTCCACAAGGTTGGTGTAATGATTTAGATTTTAGATTTTTCTTTTCTTTCTTAAAGATTCATTTATTTTAGAGCTGGGGAAGGGTCAAATGGGGTGGGGGAGAAAGAGACTCCCCGCTGAGCATGGAACCTGATTTGGGGCTGGGTTCTGGGACCCTGAGATTATGACTTGAGCCAAAACCAAGAATCAGATACTTAAACAGCTGAGCCACCAGGGCTCTGAGCTACCCAGGTGCCCCTAGGTTTTTCTATTCAGTTACATTATGGGTAAAAATATACTATAGGAGCTACCCTGGAACTGTAACCTCCATTTGTAACACTATTTCAATGAGAAGTTTTATTTTGAGCTTCTAACTGCCAATTTGTAAACACAGCTGTTTGTAAGTTAACCCTATTTTAAGGCTTTGTATAGATAGGGGCTCAGCAGGAAAATCACTTGTGAATGACTATGTATTTAGAAAAGAGCAGAAGTAAGAACAAACTTTAGAGGCTAATGGAAATTAGAATTTTTGGTACCTTTTTAATTAGCTTTTTGTTGGTGATAAATATACCATTTTTATATTGTCGGTTATTTTTTATTGAAATTACCTGGAAATTGTTACTTAAAACACTTCTGCCATTTTCTCCACCTCATTTTCCTCCATTGTAAGATGGAAATAATGGACACTACTTTATGTTGTTGAAAGATTAAGTGAAATAATGTGTTTACAAAGCACTTAGGATGGTCCCTTGTACCTAGCAGTTAATAAAGGATGGCTGTTGGTTATTCTATCACTTTAACATTTTCCATATTCAGATCCATGTAGTTAAGACAGGTACTTTATTTTTGAAAAGGATAGGTTAAGGGTTGGTTTTCTGGAGTGGACAGCAAACTTACTAGAAAACCAATATGATACTTTTTACACCATGCTTTTTGGATTATGCTTGTAATGTGCTATAATAGTAGGGTGCTTGTTTGGATTATGTTTCAGTATTCAGTTAAGCATGGACATTTGGACCTTTATTTTAGGATTTTAGTAATCTGTAAGAAATACCAGGGGATTAAATTAGCAAATATTTATTGAGATCCTTGGAAATACAAAGTATTTTTGAAGTGTTAGGCATAGTTCCATTCTTTTGGGGAGTTGGGGCAAATAATGCAAATATCTTCCTCTAAATTAAGCCATAATTGGCAAACTAAAAAAGTTATATTTGTTTTTAAGTATTAAAATGAAAAAACTTGGGCAGCCCTGGTGGCTTAACAGTTTAGTGCCACCTCCGGCCTGGGGTGTGATCCTGGAGACCCGGGATTGAGTCCCATGTTGGGCTCCTTGCAGGGAGCCTGCTTCTCCCTCTGCCTGTGTCTCTGCCCCCCTCTCTCTCTCTCTCTCTCTCTCTCTCTCTCTGTCTCTGTCTCTGTCTCTCATGAATAAATAAATAAAATCTTTTTAAAAATTAAAAAAAATAAAATGAAAAAACTTTACAAGCTTTGAGTTTAAAACAAGAAAAATTATGCTTAACTAAGTTGCTAGAATTAAATTCTTCTTAGAAATTCTTCTTTATTTTATTTATTTGCTTTTTAAGTAGGCTCTATACCCAGTGTGGAGCCCAACACAGTGCAGGGGTTGAACTCATGACCCCTGAGATCAGGACCTGAGCTGAGATCAAAAGTCAGATGCTCAACTCACTAAGCCACTCAGGTACCCCTAGAAATTCTTCTTTATTAGATAAGGGAATTAATGGTGTAATATAGATTTTATTCAGTTGACTTTAAAATTTTTTTGGTTAGAACATTTAACATTTATAAATATTTGCATTGGGAAGTAGTGAACTTCAAGTCTCCTTAAGCATTCGAGCACATTCTAGGTACCGTTAGACAGGAAAACTACCTGAAAGATTTCTGCTTTGGGGAAGTTGAACTAAAGTCTTTTTCAACTTTAGTGTTTGTTTTTTTTTTTTTAAGATTTTTATTTTATTTGTTCATGAGAGAGAGAGACAGAGACAGAGAGGCAGAGACAGAGGCAGAGTTCGGAGAAGCAGGCTCCACGCAGGGAGCCTGACATGGGACTCGATCCTGGGACCCCAGGATCATGCCCTGGGCCAAAGGTGGCGCTAATCCGCTGAGCCACCCAGGGATCCCTAGTGTTTTGATCCTTAGAAAAAAATGAGGAAAGGGCATACATAGTCATTTAATGAAATGAGAACTAGAGGTAGCCTATAAATATAATTAAAACATTTAATTTAACCAGTCATTACTACAATTTAAAGTCATTTTTTCTTTCAGTTAGCAAACATTTTAAAAATTAAAAAGAATTTTTTTTTAAGATTTTATTTCATCCATTCATGATAGACAGAGGGGGGGGGGCAGAGACACAGGCAGAGGGCAAAGGCAGGCACCAAGCCACCCAGGGATCCCCAAAAAGAAATTTTGATGTGCAAGATTCGGTATATGGACAGGTGGGGCCCTCTTTAAGTCTCTGTACATGTGTGCTACCTCAGCCAGGAATATGATTGTCCCAGCACCCCTGCAACTTTAGACTCTTAGAGCTGTTGGTCCTAATAGTTTGCCTGCCACAGAAATGATTACTTATACCGAAATTGTCACTTAAACTGAGGACACCACTCAGTGTGGTCATTGCTCAACTGCTTTAAATCATGTGAGTCTCTTTTTATGATGACCTCAAAATTGGCAGTCCTGTAAGCCTGACAAACCATCTGAGCTTGCAGGTAGGTAGGGGATACCGTAGTAGAGCAGCCCCAGATAAGAATGACACAGACAGACTCTTAATATTCTTACCCAAATATGAGCAGTTTTATAAACATTCTCAGATTGTTACATGCCTTTGGTTGATTTCTAGAGTACTGAAATGGTGGCTTTTATTATTTTGTCCAACTGAATGGCTGCTTTTTGGGGGAGATCTTTGACCTCTTAACCTGGCCAGAGTTAGAATTCCAGGGATTTTATCTTAACTTACTCAGTATCTCTGTCGTCTTGTTCCCTACTGTGTCTAGGTTCCTCAGGATCCAGTAGATGACAGACCTGGAATTAGAAATGTGGATATTAATTAGGTTTATTTCACAATAGTCTTACAATAGCAGTGCCGGTGCTGTTATCATATATATGATTATTGAAGCCATATGTATACTCTTTTTGCTGTGTTCTTTCTATTCATCCCTCACTTTTTTTTTTTTTAAAGATTTTATTTATTTATTCATAGAAACACACAGAGAGAAAGAGGCAGAGGCACAGGCAGAGGGAGAAGCAGGCTCCATGCAGGGAGCCTGATATGGGACTTGATCCAGGGTCCCCAGGATCAAACCCCGGACTTCAGGGGGCACTAAACCGCTGCGCCACCGGGGCTGCCCTCCTCCCTCACTTTTAAATAGTTAAGTATATTTATTTACATTGTCAGAGAATATACATACTATACTCTCCCTTTCAACCTTCATTTTATTTTTGCTGAATGAGTAACTAACTACATGTATGTTTGACACTATCAGTTCTTTTTTTTTTTTAATTTTTTTATTTATTTATGATAGTCACACAGAGAGAAAGAGAGGCAGAGACACAGGCAGAGGGAGAAGCAGGCTCCATGCACCGGGAGCCTGACGTGGGACTCGATCCTGGGTCTCCAGGATCGCGCCCTGGGCCAAAGGCAGGCGCCAAACCGCTGTGCCACCCAGGGATCCCCGACACTATCAGTTCTTAAGCAATATCTGTAGTCAATCTTTTCTTTTTCTTTTTTTTTTTTAAGATTTTATTTTTTTATTCATGAGAGACACAGATAGAGAGAG